TGCCCTCAGCTCTCCACTGAAGTGGGGCAACAAAAAAAATCACCTCTAAAGTAGCAAAACGTGGCTCAAAGAAGAATGACGACCCCCTGCTTACTGGGTGTTGCTGGGGCCCAGGCCCACTTAGGGCTTGGTCTTTCAGCTGTATGATGAGGTTGCGCCAGCTCTGAAAGCGTCCCTTCCTCTGAAAGGCTGTGAGAGTTTTGTGGGCTAGGGTAGACAGGGAACGCTCCAAGGAGTTGAGGCTAGAACTGGACCTTACAGGCGAGGGCAGATTGCATTAAGAGGAGGGTGCTAGGGTGCTGGCCGTGACCGCACAGAGAAGGACTGACCTAAGCAGTCTTGACAGCAGCTGGGGTCCAGAGGCTGGGGTGGGCCTCTGAGGCTTTCTGTGACCCCTGCCTCTCTGTTTCTCTTTCCAGCTCCCCAGCCCTATCCCTTTACACCATCTCTCAGCACCATCAACTTTGAGGAGTTCTCCCCCATGGTCTTTGCTTCTGGGCAGATCCCAAGCCAGACCTCGGCCTTGGCACCGGCCCCTGCCCTAGTCCTGGCCCAGGCCCCAGCCCCTGCCCCAGCCATGGCATCAGCCCTGGCCCAGGCCCCAGCCCCTGGCCCCGTCCTAGCCCCAGGCCTTGCTCAGGCTGTGACCCCACCTGCCCCCAAGACTAACCCGGCTGGGGAAGGGACACTGACAGAGGCTCTGCTGCAGCTGCAGTTTGACGCTGATGAAGACCTGGGGGCCCTGCTCGGCAATAGCACAGATCCAGCCGTGTTCACAGACCTGGCATCCGTCGACAACTCTGAGTTTCAGCAGCTGCTGAACCAGGGTGTACCCATGGCCCCCCATACGGCTGAGCCCATGCTGATGGAGTACCCTGAGGCTATAACTCGTCTGGTGACAGGGTCCCAGAGGCCCCCTGACCCAGCTCCCACTCCCCTGGGAGCCTCTGGCCTCACCAACGGCCTCCTCTCAGGGGATGAAGACTTCTCCTCCATTGCGGACATGGACTTCTCAGCCCTTCTGAGTCAGATCAGCTCCTAAAGGGCAGGGACCTGCCCTGCCCTGCCCAGAGCACTGGGTTGCAAGCCCTCCCAAAGCAAGCACTTACGGATTCTGGGGGGGGGGGGGCGGGTGTTCTCCAGCTGCCCCCTACTTCTTTGGGTGATGTCTTTCTGGGGAGGGGGGTGCATTTTATTCTTCTATTGGCAGTAGCTGTCCCTCTCTTTTTGGAGGTGCTTAAGCAGAAGCATTAACTTCTCTGGAAAGGGGAGAGCTGGGAAAACTCAAACTCTTCCTTCCCTTATCCTGATATTCAGCTCCAGTCTCTATAGGGAATTTTGGGGTCCCTCAACCCCACCCTCCAGCTTCTAGTACTCTCCTAGAGAGAGGGACAGGCTGGAGCTATGGCCTTTGAGGCCACAAAGCCTTATTACCAAGTGTCTGCCTCAAATCGTGGGTTCACTTACACCTTGAGCCAAAATAATGCCCCTGTTACCAGCCCCTGTGTGGTGCTGGCGTTCTTTGTGCCAAACCACCAGTATTTGAGGGGCTGGCCCTCCTACCCTGCAGAGGGCTCTGCCAGCTCTTTCCTTGCTGGGCTGTGGTTGAAGGGAACTGGTGGGATAGCACTGGCCTTCTCCAGGATCCAGGGAGGTTCTCTCTGAGACTGCTCTGTTCCCCCTTTTCTCAAGTGCCTTAGTAGTAGGGCGAGTTGTTTGGAGGGTCAGGGGGAGAGCAGGCTGACTGCTCTCCAGTCAAAAGGCTCAGTTTTTAGTGAAGAATCAAAGCGTTTATAGACTATTGCTTTTTCTACTCTGAACTAATAAATTCATTGCCAAGCTGGCCAGAGATTTGCCTTCTTTCAGCAAACAGCACACTCTTTGCTGGTCATTTCAGGCTGGACGTTGGTGATACAGAGTTGGATGAATACGTTGCCATCCGGGAGCCTGCAGTCCGAGGATGCCTGTGGAAACCCCTGGATACCAGCCGGTGGATGAGAGCAGTCAGCCAGGGGGTGGGAGTGGGTGGAGGTCCCAGCCTAGTGAGAGCCCGGTAGGGCCCAGCAGCTGTGGGGATGGAGCATTTTCAGGAAGGGTTTCACAGAGGCCACGCTAGCTTCAGGTCTTACATCAACAGAGGAGGGTGGATTTCGCAGAGGGACTAGCCAGCGTTTGTAGGTGAGCGGGGTAAGAGAGACGACGTTGAAAGTTTCGATGGGGTCATTCTGTGAAAGATAAAGAACGCGGGGCTAAGAGGTTTGGATTTCATCCCTTAAATGGATGAGGGAGTGTTTGCATGTGTTGGGGAAGGGGAGGTGCCAGGTAAAGGTCTATGCTTTGACACCTTGCCCTGGGAGCACCGAGGAAATCTTAAATCCGAAGCCGCCGTTCCACCAGCGCGCGCGCCCAGGAGTCCTGAACAAAAACAAATCGACTTCCAGAGGGACTAGAACTGGACGTACTTCCGGCTTGGCCCGACGCACGCGCAGTAAAGCAGGGTCGCCAGAGGCCGTGGCCCGCTAGGGCCTGCCGTCGCTAGTGCGCATGCGCAAGGATAGCAGTCTACAATAGGGACGCCAGGTAATGCGCTTCAGGAAAACCCATCTTGAGGCCGGTGGCGTCGCAGGGTTTTGCGGGAGGGTGAAGGCAGGAGCAACCGGGTTTCAGTGGGACGTGCTGCAAATCTACCGAGTCCCCTGGGAACACAGTAGGCCCAGGGTGCAGACTCCGATGGACGGTGTCTACGAGGAAAGATGCCAGCTGGCGGCGGAATGTTGGCGAACCGGAAAGCATCGAGCGAATCGTGCTTTGCTCCAGGCTCTTGTTCAGGGGTCAGGGTCTGAAGCAGGTGCACCACTCTGGGACCAGGCCAAGCTGTACTTACGCGCGAGGGGCGGAACCCGAGCATGGTGGCCAGGTCAGGACCCCGGCGAACCTGCCCGGTGGGCGGGGGGGGGGGAGGGAGGGGCGGTGCTTGGGGAGGTGGGGCTTGATGGAGCAACGGCGCTGTAAATGGGGCGAGGGCGAGCGCCAGGAGGGACCTGGCAGGGTGAGAAGGCTAACCAGAGGAAACTGATGGCAGAGCTGCCCGCAGTGTGACCAACCTGAGACCCAGAGGGGAATGAGCGAGCCCAGGTCCTCCAGCCCAGGCTGTGCCTCGCTCTTGGCTTTCCCAGTGTCCTGAAGTGACATCCCGTGACCCCCAGAAGCCCTCTCACGGTCCTTCGCACACTCCCTGAGTGACCTCATCATGCTCATGGCTCACCAGTCCCAAATCCTTGTCTCCAGCCCAGACTTCTCTCTCCAGTGCGCCAGCACACTGGACATCTCACACTGACATCCCTCAGGCCTCTCAAACTCTCCGTGTTCCAAAGAACCCCAGCCAGCCCCAGGCTGCCCTTCCCCCTCCCCGTCTCAGCCTTGGCCTTACCATCCTTCAGGGGCTCCAGCCAGAAACCTGGCCACCACCGTGGATTCTGCATCTTCTCCCCAGCAACTCGAGTCCACCTCCTCACTGGGTCCTGGCAAATGTGCCCAGTTCCTCTCATCTCCACTGCTGTCATCTAGTTTCAGCCACCACCTCTTCCACTGGGGCTGCTACTACAGCCTCCTCCCTGGCCTTGCCTTCCCTGTAGCCGAAGGGCTCTGACACCCAAATCACATCACCCTCCCTTTGAACATCTATCACACCAGAGCCTTCCACCCTGCACTGTGAGGGCTCCTCACTACAGTCCACCAGGTGAAAGCTGGGACACAGTGCTGGGACCTGCTAGTCCAGGAGCTCTAGTGCACCCATTCACAGCCCTTTCTGATTCAGCTCCAGCCTCCTTGACCCTGGGTCCCTACGTAGGCTGACTCCAGTCCAACAGGTCCCCCAGACTGGTTCTACCCAGGATCCCTTTGCCTTCTCTACCTGGTGAACAGGACACTGAGCCTTGATTTTATTTTTACATTTTGGCCACACCTTGCGGCACATGGGATCTTAGTTCCCTGACCAGGGATCGAATGTCCCCACATTGAACCTTTAAAACTCAGCCCCAGGACTTCACTTGTGGTCCAGTGGTTTAAAACTCCATGTTCCCAATGCAGGGGGCCCGGGTTCGATCCCTGGTCAGGGAACGAGATCCTGCATGCCGCAACTAAAGATCCCACACACCACAATGAAGATCCCGCGTGCCTCAACTAAGACCCAGGGCAGACAAATAAAAAACAAAAGAACCCTCAGCCCTCACATTACCTCCTCCATGAAGCTTGAGCCCCTGAAGCTGTTTCTCAGAGCCAAGCTCATCCTGCCAAAGCCTGAGTTTATGGACCCCAGGGCCTGAGTCTCAGCAGGGCTGAACTAGGCATGTGATGCTGCGCAAGTCAGTGCCCTGTCTGGGCCTCAGATCCAGAAAACAGTTTAGACACGATTCAAGTTTGGACCTGCTGATGCCACTCACAGGAAAGGGCCCAGCCTGCTGAGGAACAAGGGGTCATGGGCTGGTGAGGAGAGAAGTGGGTCAAGGGCTGATTTCCTCTGGGACATGGAAACATCTCTCAGGCAACTAAGGCAGAGAAGCTACTACCTCTGGAATTGGGGCCTGCCAGATCTGGCCAGGTGACTGAGGGAGTGCCAGGCTTGGGGGCTCAGTGTCTACAGAGAGGAGAGCGGGGCCTGTACTGGGGACAGGGCCTTTAAAGAGGGCATGGGCAGGTGCCCCTTGGCCCCTAAGCGCCTTTCCTCTCCCGCCCAGAGGGGCTCTGCCTCTGATCTCAGCCCCGCAGGTCTGGTTCTAGGGCAGGGGCCTGGCTCCAACGATTAAGCAGAATAGGTACAGGGTGTGGCCACCTGCTTCCCAACAGACCAAACCAATGTTTGTGGGACAGAAGCCAAGGGTGGCCTAGCCTCAGAGAACCCCTCAGTTTGTGCCAGCCCAACTCTGAGCCACTGTCCCAGGAGCTTGGCCGGGGCCTGAGGGGGCAAAGCCCCTTCCCCCATCACGTCATGAACACCTGTGTGGACACAAATAACGGTGGCTTCTTTATTCCCTGAAGTCCCCTTTTCTCCACAGAATATTTACAAACGGGGATGGGGTAGAGGGGCAACTTCGCCACCAAAATGCCACCAAATAATGGGCCGGGGAGCGGGGGCAGTGCTAAGATGCGCCTCGCGCAGGGATAGTCCCTGAGGAGGGCCCAGGGCCTGGTATGGCCCAGGTGCCCCGAGCGAGCGACCGGGCAGTTCCAGCAGGTCCGCAGCCAGGCTGAGGCTGGACCTGACAGCTTCAGGCCAGGTCGCTGGTGGGGGAGCCCAGCTGCTTGGAGGCCAGGAGCAGGCGGGTGGCCGCGCTCTCGGACTCGGCCTGCAGCCGCCGGTTGTTGTGTCGCAGGCTCCGCACCTCCTCCTCCAGGGCCGCCCTGTCTGCCTTCTCCTGGGGGGAGGTGGAGCGAGGCGGGAGTCAGCGTGGCCAGCCAGCGTGGGCAGCCCTGTGACTCCCCATGACCCGCAGCCACCGTGTCACCTTCTGCAGGTCATCCTGCAGCTTCCTGAGCATGGACTCCAGGTGAGAGACCTTCTCAGACAGGCTCCCGGGTTCTGGCCTGAGAACATGGGATTCAGAACTCAGTGAGACCAGGGCAGGGTGCGGCACCATGGGCTGGTTCCCAGACCCACCCGCCTGAGAGGAGCCCACCCCCTGTCTTCTGACTGGGGTGTACATTACAGCAGAGCCCTGGGACAGAGCTTCACTCCAATGGGTGGGCACGAACACTGGGCATGGGGTGAAGGGGTAGATCGGATGTGAGGCTTACTCAGAGTCAGATTTTGGAGTTCCCTTGGCATCTCTGCTCTCTGGGATGGGTGGCCCTGTGGGGACAGAGGGACCGTCTGGGCAGGCAGGTAAAGGGAGAAAGCCCCACCCTGGCTCCGCCCGCAGCGCCCTGGTGGCCTCACCCTCCCGGGAGAGCGACTCCAGGATGGTGTTGCAGGTGGAGGCGATCTCTGAGATGGACTGCCACTCATCTTCCAGGGTCTCGCTGCCCGCCTCTGACATGACTGTGGGCACCGGAGCTGGGCTCAGCTAGGGAAGCGCAGGCCAGGCCTCCTCCTGTCCCGCTCCTAGACCCCCACCTTGCTCCAGACTCACTTTTGCTGATGGAGTTCCTCAGAGACAAGGTTCGTGGCAAGAAAGAGGCCCTCAGTTCCGGGGCTGGGTCACCCCTGTCCTCACAGCCACTGGGGCTGCCTGGCCCGTCCTGGGGGGCAGAAGTGGGTATAGATGCAGTGATGCCCACCATCACCATGGTGCCCACTCCTGCTGGTTGGGCTCCAGAGAGTTGCTTCTGCTCACCTGGGTGGGGGGTGTCTCCCTGCCAGCACTGGGTGCTGCCGGCTTGGCTGTGGTGGCAAGGAGGAGGTCCGGGGTGGTGTTGGGCAGGACTGGGGCCTCGTCGGACAGGGAGCTGGGGAGAGCAGGGACGGCTCAGCACTGCAAGCTGCCCCCACCCGTGGACCCTGCTTGCAGAGGCCTTCCCGTCCAGCCTCGTGGGCTAGAGGAGAGGGAAGGCCGAGCGGGCGTACCTGCAGGGTGATGGAGGGTTCTGGCTGTGCAGGAACTCGGTTCTCTCCTCGGCCAGGTCCCCGGGCCCTGGAGGACCACTGCCATCGTTCAGGCACACTTGCAGCAGCTGCTTCGTGGTGGCCAGTAGGGCCACTGCTGGGGCCTCATCCTGCACTGGCTCGGGAGCCCCCCGCCGGCTGGGCTCCTGCAGAGACAGCATGTACAGCTCCGAAAAGCTCCTGGGGGGAGGAAGGAGTAGGTCAGGCAGGAACACCAGCATCACCAGCCCCACTCCCAGCTGTGCCCAAGGCTCGCTTCCAGGAGGAGGAGAGCTCTCCAAACTCTCTGACAACACTGAAAAATATTTGCCTGGCTACTGGCCATTTGTCCAGACCTCAGTTCACATCGCAGTGCTGCCCTTGTGAATCCTAAGCAAATGACGCTGAATGTCAGTTTCTCCATCTGTGAAATGGGGATAATAGTACTGATCTCCTAGTTTGCTGTGAGGATTTAAATAACGTGGGAAAACCACTTAGCATAGAGATCCAAAAAGTACTGCCTGGGGGCAAATCCAGCCTCTGCCTTTGTCTTTTCTTTCTTAGCAGATGTGCCTGTTTTTGTACTGAAAGCTAAGGTTGGCTTTTACAGTCTTAAACAGTTGAAAGAAATAAAAAGAATATTTTATGACATGTGAAAGTCACATAAAATTCACGTTGCAGGGTCCATAACTCGTTTTCATGGCACGAGGCCATAGTCATCATTTAAATGTCACCTCTGGATGCTCTTGTGCTCCCGTGATGGAGCCGAGTGGCTGCAGCAGAGACCAGATAGCCCAGAAAACCTGAAATATTTACTCTCTGGCTCTTTACATGAAGAGTCCGCATATCCCTGGTTTAATGCAGTAAGTAACCAATAGTGTGTATTGGGTGTCTGTGAGAAATACAGCGGGGGCTGCTCTTGGATCTTTTGGGCGGTGAAGACGCGAGCTTAATAGTCTTCATTCTACCCATAAGGATAGTGCAGTTCAGAGAGATTAAGAGACGCGGGATTCTCTCAAGAAGGAAAGGCCTCCCCGCGAGGTTCCTGTCGCTAATGGCCACACGGGAGGCACGGGCGAGGTGGTGGCCAGCTGCCCGGTCCTCCCACCTCCCTGCGTCCCAACGTCCTGACCTGCGGGGCCGGCCGCTCTCGTCGGGGGTCAGGACGGTGACGCAGACCTTGGGCGCCGAGCGCAGCAGCTGGGCAGCGGCCTCGGGGCCGAGACTGGGCAGCGTCTGGCCGCACACGCGCAGCAGGCGCGCCCCGGGCCGCAGCCCCGTCGTCTCCGCGAACGTGAAGCGCTCCACGTGCGTGACGAAGCCCTCGGCGTCCACCTCGAAGCCCAGGCGGCCTTGGCCGTCGCGGGGCAGCGCCAGCTCGCGGGTCTCGCAGCCGCGGCTCACCAGCTGGGGCGGAGCGGGGCGGGGCGGGGCGGGGAGTGAGCGGGGGCTAACAGAGGAGGGGCCGCCCCAGCGCCAGCCCCGGGGACCGTCCCAGGTCACATGGGCCCTTCCACACGCCCAAGGAGGGTATTAGCCACCCACCCCGCAAAAGAGGGCCTGGGGACCCCCAGTTCCATCCCTGCGAGGCTCCCGGTGTGCCCCACCACCCCGACTTCCCCTTTCGCAGGAGAGGCGGCGGGAACGAGGGGTTCCAAAGCAGGCTCCTTCCCCGCTGCGCGCGCGCGCGCAAAGACCTTGCACCCCAACCTTACTCCCGCGCGTCACCTGCAGGCGCGTCACGACCTCGCCAACGGCTTGGCCGGGGGGCCCGTCGAACCGCAGCATGATCGCCTCCCCGCGGCCATGGTACAGGTCGAGCTGCTGCTCGGAGAAGGTCCAGGCCAGCACGTCGCGACAGGCGCAGTTGAAGACTACACGGCCGTCGCGCGGCGCCACCAGCACCAGCGCCTCGGCCGAGATGCCCAGCAGGCATGGCACCTCTGCGCCGTCAGGGCCGCCCTCCTCGGCTCCGGTCGCGCCCCGCGCCCCGGGCGCCGCGCGTACGCCCCACACCAGCGCCCCTGCCGCCTGCAGCTCAGCGCCCGGGCCCCGGGGGGACGCCCGCCGCCTCCCACCCAGGGAAGGCAGGCCGAAACGGGAAGCCGAGTCCAGCGACGTGGTGGTCACCTCGTTGGTGGCCAGGTCCTGCAGATACTGCTGGCGCGTGCGCGTGGCCATGGCGTGGAACTGGCGTGCGTGGCCCGCCGCCTGCTCGCCATTGAGCGCCTTGGCCAACAGGAGGGCCCGGAAGTCGGCGTTGGCCGCAAAGGGACCTCCGCCAGGGGGCAGAGCTGGCCCAAAGGCCGGGGTGTCCTGGGTGCGGCTCACAGCCACCCTATGGGGAAGGAGGCGGTAGTCAGGGGCAAAGGGAGGGCCCAGGAAGACCTACCCTTGGCAGAACTGGAACTCCGGGCGCCCACCTGTAGGAGGTGTGCGGAGTGCAGGGCGCGTGGGCCCGCACGACTAGGAATACGTGCTGGAAGTGCGAGCGTATGGTGGTGGGGCAGAAGGGCTTGCTGCCGGGTTCCTGGAACACGATGGTCACAATGTTGTTGCCAATGTGGCGCTTCCGCAGGAGCTGGGGGTTAGAAGGTGGGGGATGTGAGTGAGACCTAAGAGCCTGGGCACCAGTGGCTCCCCCCACCTGCCCCTGGTGAAGGCCTGGGGTGTTTGTCTTTGGGGAGGGACACTAGCCTGGAGCGTAGTTAGGGGTCAGCAGAGTTCAGACCAAGGTTCAAACACTGCCACCCACAAAGCACCCCTCCATGGTCCCCAGAAGCCCATAGCCAGCCCCCATCCCCAGGGCCCCCTCACACCTGCTGCTGGTTATTGGGGGTGTAAGGCAGCATCGTGGACACGTGGAACATGATCTCATGGTCCTGGTACGTGGTGTAGAGGGAGTGCGTGCCCGTGGAATCCGCTGTGGCCAGTTAATTGGGGACACCGAGGGAGAGCAAGGGAAATCTGGATGGCTTGAACCTGCCATCCTGCTTGCAGTCTGGAGCCTCTGTACCCCCAGCCAGCAGGTGGACAACCCCTTTCCACCACCAGCCAAGGTCCAGGCCATGAGCTCCAAGGGCCTCAGCCTTGGCTGCTCCCCTTCCCCTCCCCTCACAGAATCCAGCCTCCAGCCTGGGATTGGGATGGGGGGATGCTGAGATAGAATGAAGACAGAAATGAGAAATGGCCTGCTAACAGGGAGTCGGGGGCGGATGTCCCAGGAGAAGACAGATGTTGGCCCAGGCACCAGCATGTGTGGAGCAGCTGAGAGAGTGGAAGGCAGGCAGGAGGTGCTGGATACAAACACTTTCCAGGGACCCTGGGACCTTTCCAACCAGGGAGGCAGGGTCTGGGCTGGTGGAATATGTGTGTTTGATGGTGAGGGTGGTGCCTACAAACCCCCTTGACCCCACTCAGGCAGTAGGGCACCGGGGCCTTGGGGGATAGTCCCAGCCCCTCCTCCCAGCCATGGCTTGGCCTTTGCAGCCCCAGACCCACGTCCTCAGCCTACCCAAAGAACTCTCCACCCCCGGCCCCAGACCCAGGACAAGATGGGACAGAAAAGCGAGCAGGCAGCTGGTTTTCACCAAGGCAGCCTGCCCCTCAGCATGGGTCTGCCCCCACCCTGGGCCCCCTGGGCCTCACTTTTGGTGTCCAGCTGGGCCCTGTAGCTCTCAAAGCCTTTGAGCCGCACCACGTCACCCAGCAGGGTGAGGAACTGCATGAAGGAGGGTCCTGCGTCCTGGTTGTTGTACATCTCCTCCTCCGAGCCCTGGCCCGCCCGGCAGTACAGGATGCCCACCTTGCGCTGGAAGCTCAGCTGCGGGGGAGGGCACAGGCAGAAGGCACAGGCCTCAGTCGCCCAGCAGCACCCCTGGGCCTTGGGGAATGGACCGGGACACTGGCCTGGGGGCAGAACTGCCTCCGTGTGTGGCCTGAGCTCTGCCCTCTCTAAGCCACTTCTGTGTCCTCGCTTATCAAGTGGGTTCTGTCTCTCCTGCTCCCAGCGCTCAGGAGGGCAGAGGAGATCAAGGTGAGAAGGAACCGGGAGGGGGCTGGTTGTCATATGACCACAGAGGACGTGATTCACGGAAAGGACCCTGCACAGAGTGCGCTCGATCCCAATTAATGGCCACATTGTCATCCTCCTTATCTCAAGGCCAGCCTGTCCTCCCCTCCCTCAAATGCCAGGCACCCTGAGCCCAGCCTCTGGAGGCCTGGAGCCCTGCACCACCTCTGCTTACTCTCTGCCCCCAGCTCCTGTGGCTCCTTTGCATCTGGGGTTAACTGTGCACAGCTCAGGGCGCTCTGCCACCACGCAAACAAGCCCAGGGCCCCTCCAGCTCTGGCCTCCCGTCTTCCTGCTAAGCGCGTCTACACCCACAGTCCCCACTTCCATTTCATCCCTCCTCACACTACAGCCCCACTTCCACCCCAGCTCCTAAACCCCAAGCCCCTCTTACGGCCACGGGCACGGCCTCATCCTGGCACCCTCTCACCTTAGTTGGCACTTGGGACAACTGGAACTTCACTCTGCCTGAGACCCCAGGGACCTCACCCTCTCACGTCTGGGCCTCTTCCCCAGCCACGCTCTTCACCTTCAGTGGTCACAGCAGCCATCTCCACGGAATGATACCCCCAACTCTGCCTCCAGCCCAGACCCCTCTCCCGAGCTGCAGCTGCCCAGATGTCCTTCCAGCCCCTGGCACCTCACCTCCTCACTATGACTCCCCCCCCACACCACTCGTCCTCCAGGGTCCCTGCCTCCATAAACTACCGCTCCCAGCGGCCGAGAAGCAGGGCAATCTCACAACACCCCCACTGTTCCAGTCGGCCACAAAGGCTATCCACTCTGTCCCTGGACTGTCACCTCCTCTTCACCTCTGCCATCGTCACCACCACGTCTGGCTGGGATCACAGCGACAGCCTTCAGCCTGGCCTCCAGTCTAGCCCCCACACTACAGCCAGAGGGCTGCTCAACCTCTCAGATCTTCCACAGCTCCACGGTGCCCTCAGGACCAAAGGCCAGCCTTTCCCACCCCTTCCCCCCAAGTCCTACTCCAGTCATGCTGAACTACCCACAGGACCCTGACGTGACAGTTTTTAGTCTCTAAGCTTCACCCAAGTTGTTCCTTCTGTCCAGAAAATGCCTGCTCTTCCTGGTTTGGGCTCTTGCATTTCCTCCATGATGCTGAACCAAGGAAGGGCTGTCAGCGCTACCTTGGTGCCCCATAGAGCCCTCAACATTGCCCTGTCCCTGTTATCCTGCTCCATCATTATCCATGATTCTCTGCAGCCTCTCTCCCACACCTGTCTGTGAGCTACTCAAGGACAGCATCTGGTCTAGACAGGTCTCCAGCATCCAGCTGGGGCCTGGTACCAAGGTATGAGGAAATGTTTGTTGAATGACTAACAGACTGAATGACAGAGGAGGAGAATCGGGGCCAATAGGCAGCTTTCAGCACAGGGTAGGGAAGGACCTTCAGCGGGCTTGAGTGGTCCCACAGTGGAATGGGCAGCCCCAGGAAGGAGTGAGCACCCCAGACTGGCAGGAGACCAAGCAGGGCGTTGCAGGGAAAACTGACAGGGAAGGAGAGGGACTTGCAGGAAGAGGGGGTGGCAGTCAGATCAGCGCTCCTCAGCTGAAATGCACATAGGAATTACCTTGGGATCTTCTTAAAGTGTGGGCTCTGAGATTCAGTAGGTCTGGGGTGGAGCCCGAGAATCTGCATTTCTAACAAGCTCCCAGATAATACGGACGTTGCTGGTCTACAGACCTTACTTTGAGAGGCAAGGCTCCAGATGACCTCTGATGCCCTCCTTTTGAAAAGGCAGCTCTCCTGGGGTCCCCGTCCAGCCCAGGATTAGGGTCAAGGCTAGGTGGCTAGGAGCTGGGCAGGCTGGGTTCAGACCAGGTCTAGCTGTAGGGCAGGGCTGTCCCACCCACTTACCACTTGCTCGTCCAGCGTAAGCAGCGTGCGGGGCACCTTCGGTGAAGCTGAGCCCAGGCGCAGGCAGGTCGGGCTCAGCCGCGATGCCACGTGCTCTAGAAGCTTCCTTGGGGACAGGCCTCTCGGGGGCCCTGGCGGCAGCGCGTCCTCCGAGATGGTGCCACGGAGGGTCCGGAGCTAAGGAGGGGATATAGGGGCGCTCAGGATACGTGCAGGCCGTTCAGAAGGCAATCCACGGTCTAATTCCCATGACCTCGGCCTACCTGCGTGGTCCGCACGATGATGCGGTAGCTGTGCAGAGTGCCCCCTCCGCTGCTCTCCTTCTCCTCCCGCCGCAGGCTCACTGCCACCGGGCCCAGCACCTCGTCCAGTCCGAAGAAGTTCTGGTGTTCTGGGGGAAGCAGGCGGTGGGTGACCAGATCCACCCCCCTGAGCAGTCCCACCCTCGCTCGACCACGTCCACCAAAGTCCCCGCTCCAGGTCCCACCACAACACTAGTTCAGATCCTAGATTAAGTCCAGTCCCCTCGTCAGCCCTGCCCACGTTCTACCAACCCAGATCCTGACTCCTGTCGGCACCTATACACTTGGCCCTAGGCCTCACCCCTTCTGCAGCCTCACCGATGATATATCTTGCCCCAGACCCAGGGGGGCCATGCCTGCCTGCTCCAAAACCTAGATCCTGCATGGCCTCGCCCACCATGCCCATATTCTTCCCCAGGATGTCTGGGGCCCTCCCTTGTGGGCACTGATGAGAACAAGGTTCCCGGGTGCAGGGGTTCAGTTTTCACCTCACAGAAATGTCCATAGGAAATCTCTCCCCAGACGGGAGGAGCAAAAGGATGAACCAGATGGGGGCAGCGGAGCATGCCTGGCTGGGTGGAGGCTGGGCTTGGTCTTAGGGAGGTGGGTAAAGCTGGGCAGCCTCGGCCCAGAGACAGAGCCTGACCCTTCACGTGGCCAGGGAGTTGACAGGGAAAGGACAGCTCACCACAAGTGACAGGGACCTTGGCCCCTCCCCAGCGGCCCTCCCCTCACCTTTGCCGTAGAAGTACTTGCGGTAGTAGCCAGCGCCCAGGTCTGCATGCTCCAGGCTGTAGGCCGAGGTTCGGTTCTGTGGTTCCTCCAGGACGGACACGGCCGCGTTGGGCAGTGAGGGGGGCACAGGTGGAGACACCAGTCCACCCAGTCCCAGCTCGCCCTCACCCCCGAGCTCACTCACGAAGCCAGGCGCCTCAAGCAGCAGGTCGGAGCGGGCAGTCTGGTCCTGAGACGAGGCGGGGGTCCCAGAGCCCGCCTCTGCGTGGCCCCCTGTCCCCCGGGGCCTCGGAGCCCAGTCAAAGAGCAGGCTCTGCACGTCATAGTGGGCGAACCAGCGGGGCTCGGGCACGGGCGGGAACTCGGGCTCCGGCTCCTCGACCGGCAGCCCCAGCAGCGCCAGCGGGTCGGAGAAGAAGCGGGCGGGGGGCGCGGGGGGGCGGCCGGTCTCCTCGTGGCTGTGGGCGCGGGCGCGAGGGCTGGCCGGTGTCGGGGGCCGGGCCTCGCCCGCATCGCTGCCGCTGCGCAGGAGCGGGCCGCGGGCTGGCCTGGGCTCGAAGGTGTGTGGCGTCAGCGGGGGCCGCGCCGGCTGGCGCAGCTTGCGGGCGAAGAGGTCATCGGTGGGCTCAGGGGCTGGGCCCCGCCGAGGACTCCCCACGCCGCCGGCCCACATGGGCGTGCCTCGGACCTGGGGACTTGGCTCTCCGGGTGCCGGGCCGCATTGGCAGGCACGGGTGGTTGGTGCCCAGCCGGCAGGCCGGTTCCTGCCCTGAGGGAGGAGGGGTCTGCTCAGAGGAGCCTGGGGAGAAAACAGGAACCCGGGCCCCCAGCCTGGTCCACCATGCGGGTTGACTTCCGGCCCCCTCCACGACCATCAAAGCCGCTTCCGCTTTCCTGGCCACTTCCTCGTCTGCCTGGGGCTGAAGTTTCCAGCCCCCTCCTCCAGCTTAGTGCTGGGCAGGGCTGTCGGGGCCTTGGCCCTGAGGGTCTTGGAGCCTGGGCGGCCCTGGGACTGCCAGGGCTCCCCAGTCCCCACTCACACACCTTGGCTTTGGTCTGGGCCCAGAGTGAGAGTCCCCACCAAGACCTGGCCCAACCGGAGAGATGATTTGTCTCCGCTCCGACGGAAAACCCATGGGGCTACTGGTGTCTGGGTCCTGTCCACTTGACAAAGGGAGGACGTCCTGTCCCCAGAGACCTTCCTCCCTGCTCCTCCCACTTCCTCCAGGATCCCAGAGGAGCTGAGCACCCAGAGGCTGGGTCTCAATGCCCTGGCCCTCACGGCCTCAGTACCTCAAGGACACAGGGGTTCCCAGGGGGCACTGGCGGGGCAGCAGGAACAGCAAGAGCACTTCCTTCAGCACGGGAAGTGGCCCCAACTCTGGGGCCCGGCCCCACATCCTGAGGAAGGTGCTGGGATCACATTAGCTCAGTCATGGGACCTAAGTCAACCTAACCTGAAGGACAGGCCTGGGCTCACCCTCTTGCAGGCCTCTGTAGCCATACCTGGGGGTACGGGAGGGAGTCATGCTGACCAGGCCCCTTTGCTGGAACTGGGACCCATGGGGACTTCCGCCTACCTGGCCCCACTGATGCTGAGAGGAGAATCTGAACCCCATATGACAAACAAACTGAGGTCCAGATAAGGGGATGCTCTTGACTGAAGCAATTCCATATCAGCTAGGATTTGAACCTGGGCCTGCCAATCTCCAGGGCCTAAACAGTGCTGTACCTCCCCACTCCTAACACTGTGTGAGTAGGTGTGGGGCAGGTGGGGGGTTGGGCTAAGGCTCGAGGTCTCACAGGATGTAAGAGTGAGACACCCAAGGCCCCAGGGACCAGCTTAAGTGTGAAAAATGTGTCGAGACCAGGGGCAGGTGCAAAGGGTGGTATGAGAACGTGAGGGGGAGTCACCCTCAGGTGAACCCAGGATGGAGTGGGTGGCTGGGACAGGGATGTGGGTGACCCACTAGGGGTGCAGGCACCTGCTGATGAGTCTTTGTGCATCATCCGGTGACACTGTGTAGGGCTGGGCTAGGAGGGGATGGGAGCAGAGGCTCTGCACCCCTCAGCTAAAGCTCCAGGACCCAGTAAGGCTCAGAGTGCCTCCTCCCTTGGCTTCTCCTGGGACAAGTTCGTGACACTGACCCTGAGTCTCTGTTCTTTCACCTCTAAAATGGGGTTAACTATCCCTGTCCCCTCCCAACACTGCTGGAAGACCGAAAGGAAGGTGAAGCGAGCGAAGCTGGCCTTGTGTTAAGTGTGTGGTGTCAGATGCAGGCCCTGGCTCCATGTGCCAAGCTCCAGGGCCTTGGCTGTGGTGTGGGTGAAGTGTGTGTGATGGGGGTGACAGGGGACATGAGGGAAGGGGTCTGCGCAGACCCCTGCTCCGTGTGGGTTGAGCTCTGTGTATCTGTGCGTGCACAGCCCATGGGCTGCCTCTTGCTCTGGCCCAGTGCCGGGCTCTGGCCTGCCTTGGGGGATGTTCTTGGGCTCTGCCCCCCACCCGGCAGCTTCACACAAGGTCCATTGAGGCCGGGACATTCCTCACGGCCTGTGTCACTGGGGAGGAGGGGGCCGGCCCGCTCCCACAGATCCGGAAGGCCTGGCTGCCCCAGGAGGAGGCGCTGGATACTGCCCAGCACATCTGGAGGTCATGACCCCGTTTCTGCTGCCAGGGGGCGCGACAGATGTTTCCTCCCAGGCCAGGCCCGGGACCAGGGGGCGGTGTGCAAAGGCTGGGTTGGAGGCCGCCCAGGGAGAAGGGGAGACCCAGAATAAGGGGAGCACACAGCCGACAGGCAGAAGGGCAGTCGCCAGTGCCGCTGAGAGGAGTCGGGAGGCACCGCATCCGCTCACCCGCACACCGGGCGGGCCAGGCCGTCCCGCAAAGGAGATAGGGGGCAGCACCGGCCAGAGGCAGGGGACTGGACGTGCTGACTTGAGATTGGAGCCCAACGGGAGGTTGGGAGCGTGCAGACGGCGAACGCGGCGAGGACCCCTCCCACCCACACACCACCCGGGCCCACGCCAGGCCACTTTCTTCCCTGTTCCGCCCGACCGCGGTGCCTCCGCTCCCCCCTCTCCCGCCGGTACCTCTGCCGCCTCCTCCCGCGATGGGGTCCAGCTGCCTCCTCTCCCGCTACAGCTCCGGGCGCCGGCTCCGCCTGGGGGCGGGGCTATGCCGGGGGCGGAACTGCAGCGAGGGGGCGGGGCCGGCCCGGGAGTCTCCGTCGGCGGGAAGCGCAGCGGGCGGGGACTGGAAGCCTGGCGGCGGGCAGTCTGAACGGCTGCCCCACGACAGGCCCGGCCCAGCCCAGTAAACTGTCGGGCCTCCAGTCCTTGGCTGAGAAACAGGAACAAATGTACCTGCCTTCCAAACCAACTGGGAGGGCTAGACCGGGACAACTAGTGCTCAGCTCCATCCCGGAACAGAGCAAGTGCTCAGGAAGTGCCGCTATTTACAAGCACTCTGCTCGTAAGCACTGGGCCCTGCCCTACACACGCTCTCGCGTATTCTTAGAACACCTTAGACAGGTATCATCTCTTACTTATAACTGGAGAAACAGGTTCAGAGAAAGGCTTTGGCCAAGGTCAAGGCTAACAATTGTAGGAACCTGCCACTGGAGCTAGAAGTCTTTGAACACTTGGGTGTGAGAAACGGAACAACTGCAAACCTCAGATCAAGGATAGAAAAGGCAACAGGCTTGTGAGAAAGAGGATCCAGTCCTACTTGAACCCCACCCTGGTTTAACCTTGATCTTCATCATAGCCCATTCCCCTCTCTGTGCTCATATACCCTCCACCCAAACACCCCCAGATGGAAGAAGAAACTACCAACCAAAATCAAAAATAGTGTTATTAATTCTGGTGTCTCCGAAGCACGAAAAAAAAAAAGAAAAAGAAAAAAAAGAAAAAGAAACCCCCCTCCCCACATTTCAGCCCCAAGTCCAAGGCCAAGGGGCTACCCCAGCAGGCAGTGCAGGCCGAGGGGCCAAGTCAGTCCTGGCCATGGGCTTGAAGCAGGACCAGCCCATGGGTTTGGCTCTTAGGGCCCAGCTGAGAGGCTGCCTGCCTCAGTTTGGGGAGCCCAGGCCCTGAATTAGGATGAGAGATCAGGGGCCAAGGTCAGAGGTCTGGGATACTCAGTTCTGGTGCTCTGGCTAAGGCAGCCAGAGGTCAGGGTTCACATGTGGGAACCAAAGCCACTCAGTTCTGTGGTCCAGCAGAAAGGGCCAAAGGCTGGGGGTCCAAGTTTCTGAATCCTGGGCTGGGACCCAGAGGGCACCAGGCCACTCAGTACTGATGCTCCAGCAGGGGCTGGGCAGCTGGGCTCTCACGCTCTTCAGCGGGGGCAGGCCAGTCGCCCAGGGCCCCAGTGGGCGTGCCACTCTCAGGAGCACTGCTGTCCAAGCACGGAATATCCTGCACTGCTCTGGGGGGCGAGGCATCGGTGCTGATGTCCGGGCTGAGGCTGAGGTCTAGGGGCACCTGAGGGAGGGGAGATAGGTTGGTAGGAGAGCAGACCTGAGCTGCCCAGGACCCGACCTTCCCATAAGAACCGTACCTGAGATTTGGGGGTGCTTCCTTTAGGGCTCCCTGAGGCTGGCTCCCCCTCAGATCCCCCTAGCCCCTTCCGACCCCCCAGGCTCCACTTCCCACTGGGACCCTCAGAACTAAGGAGGCCAGGGCCAGGGGGCCTTGAGGGCCTGGGACCCTCAGTGGGGGCAGGAGAAGCGGGGGATGGTCCAGGGAGCCGAGGGGGTGGCCACTGCAGCAGAGGAGGGGGGCGCCCATCACCAGAGCCACTCAGGGAGGGCCTCGGGCCCCAGGCAGGGCCTGGTGGGAGGGGCTGGTCACCACCGCCTGTGGGAGACAGATAAGAGGGCAGAGACTTCAGTCGGCTAGGCTGCCCTCTCCACTCAGCGGTTCAGCGCGGCCCTGCCTGCTCACCTGCTGTGTTCTCAGGTGTGGGGTGTGCCAAGGGGGGGTTATTGCTGAGGGAGGTCAAGCCTCCGCCTCCACCACAGTCCGAGTCATCCACGTTCCCGCCGCTGTTGCAGCCGGCACCACAGCCCTTATGAAGCCTGGGGGATGGGAGGCGGACAAGAGGTTGGTAGGGGGTGGGAGATACAAAGACCTCACAAGCACAAGTCCCCAACCCAAGACAGGTCACCTACCATATCAGAACCCAGAGTCCTATTTCTAAAATGTTTTTGCCATCTGCTTCACAGGGCTTTTTTTTTTTCCCCTTAAGGCCGTACTGCGTGGCATGTGGGATCTTATTTCCCTGACCAGGGATCGAACCCGCACCGCCTGCAGCAGAAGCACAGAGTCTTAACCACCGAACCACCAGGGAAGTCCCTACAGGGCTTTTAAGGGAGGGCTTATCGGGGACTCCCCTGATGGTCCAGTAGTAAAGATTCCACCTTACAACGCAGGGGACACGGGTTCGATCCCTGGTCAGGGAACTAAGATCCCACATGCCGCAGGGCGACTAAGCCCATGTGCCGCAACTACTGAGCTCGCGCGCCTCAACTAGAGCCCGAGTGCCGCAAACTACAGAGCCCATGGGCCCCGGAGCCTGCGCGTCACAACTAGAGAAGAAAAACCCGCTCGCCACAACTAGAGAGAAGCCCACACGCTGCAACAAAAGATCCCGCATTCCTCAACGAAGATCGCACGTGCCACAACTAAGACCCGACACAGCCAAAGACAAATAAAATAAATAAATAAACCTTAAAAAAAAAAAAAAAGGGAAGCATCATCAACGGTGCTTCAGGCTAAAGGCCACATTCAGCTCTGGCTGAGGGGACGGGGTGTGCGGTTGGGTCAGCTCGGGGAAGGGGTCAGCTCGGGGAAGGGGTCAGCTCTCGGGGCTCAATCCTGGCTCCAGCACTTCCTCAGTCAGACCCCAGAGAGAGCCGCTTCCTCTCTCCGAGCCCCGGCTTCCTGCCCCGTGACCCCGGCCTTGCGGACTAGAGGCGGGGGGTCGGAGCTCACCTCTCCCAGCTGCGCAGAAGCCAGCGGGCGATGGCGCCCAGGCTGATGGGGCCGCCCCACAATGCCCGCAGCTGGGGGTGGCTGCCGGCCAGCGAGGTGGTGAGGGGCGACACGTAGATGGGGTAGCCCAGCGGCTGGTCGCAGGAGGAGTTGATCATGTTGCGGAGCGCCTGCTTGGCGTTCTGGATGCTGCCTCGCTCGGGGTTGCGGTTGCGCAGGAACACCAGCTCCTGCTGCTGCCCAGCCCACAGGCCGCGCACGCACTCGCGGTTCACCTGCGGAGGCCACACGCGAGGGTCAGGAGGCCGCGCCAGGAAGGGGGCCGGGTCGGGCGAGCGGCCGTCCCCACCTTGATGACACGGAAGCTGAGGTGGCGCCGGTTGAGCATGATGATCTTGTACTCGTCGGAGGCGTCGTCCAAGACGTGCCGCAGCGCCAAGAGCGAGGGCATGTTGCTGAGGATGGCGCTGCGCCAGGCCGGGTCGCCTTCGTGTGAGATGACCAGCCGCTCCTCGTTGGCTGCGATGGCATCATACAGAGCGGCCGGCTCCTCATACTCATCTGGGGACGTGAAGTGGTCCTGCGGGGAGGACGGAGGGCTGAGGCCGGCGGCCCCTGGCCTGGGCAGAGACCTCGCCCCACCCCGCCTGGGCACACCTCTCCCTACCTGGTGAAGCTTGAGGGCCATGCGAACCCCAGGTGCCACCACGTGGTGAAGCAGGTCCATGTCGGCAAAGACCCACTCGTCGCGCGGGGAGGTGATACGGAAGTCCCCCTTAAACAGGGCGTGCAGGCCGTAGAGGAAGGGCTCCAGGCTGGGGAAGAGAAGGGGGGGAGGCGAATGCACAGGGGGCTCCTGGCTTCCTGAGCTCTGCCTCTATGTGCAGTGGTCAGAGCGGAGTCGGCTCTTTATGCTGGGCCTTGGTTTCGCCATCTTGACGAGGTCAACCTCTGCCCATGTCCCTCACAGGGCGGTGAGGAGCAGGCGAAGTCACCATGGATAAAAGAGCCACTGAAGGAAGGACTGATGCGGCCCCTGGGGGCTGAGGCCAGAGGCCCAGAGCTCTTCATGGAGGTAGAGGAGGGGAGAGCGACAGGCCCGGCTGGACTTGCGGGCACTCACCTGGCCGACATGCTGTGCGAAGCTGTCCCCAGGGCCCGGCGGCCCAGCACACACAGGCCAAAACACAGCGTGACCAGCGGCGAGTTCCAATCCTGGTCCACAGGCTGCGGCACAAGGACCCCCGTCCCCAGAGCCCAGCTCAGACCTGGGACAGGGAACCTGGGGTGGGGGCTGGGGCCCAGGCCAAGGGAGGCTGAGGGTGAGAAGAACCTGCACGGGGAGGGGGGAGGCCAAGGGGAGAAGGCAGCCCCAGGGTAGCGGTGGCCGGACCTGGCCGCGCCGAGAAGCGCAGTACTGGATCCACTCCAGGTGCACGGCGCAGAAGGAGGGCAGCGAGAGGCCAGAGAGGCGAAGGTCGTAGTCCTCATCCACGCTCAGTGAGAAGGTGGGGTCTGAGTCAGCATAGCCAGGTGCCCGCACAGGACGCAGGGCTGTCGCGATGCCCTCGTGGCTCAGCCAGGCGTCCAGCTTTGGCGAGCGGCTCACATAGTAGATGATGCTCTGGGAGGAGAGGGCTGGGGTCAGTGCCTGGGGGAGCGCCCTTGCCCCGGCCACTGAAGGAGACAGCGTCAGGGTGAAGAGGCTTCTCCGCGGGAATTCCCTGGCGGTCCAGTGATTAGGGCTCCATGCTTTCGCTGCCAAAGCCAGGGGTTCGATCTCGGGTCAGGGAATCAGGACCCCAGAAGGCATGCGGAGTGGCCAAAAAAAAAAAGAGGTTTCTCCCTTAGACTGAGCTGAAGTCAGCTTCCCGGGACGCCCATCCTGTGTCCCATCTCAGCTCCCTGAAGACCCACAGGCAA